GTCATTGGCTGAGATAAGTCCGGCCGTGCGTCACGACTCTTTGAAACATCTCTGTTCCCGGAAATGCATCCGCGAAGGAGCCGTGGAGGACCGTGGAGGACCCATCAGTGTATCCTCGGTTATAGCTCCTCCAGAGAGCCTCCTCGACGCTCGATCCTCGGTCCTCGAAGTGCATTTAGAGAAATTAGATGTCCTTCAACATGGCGCGCTGAAATTCATATCCGGGTCACTACCGGAGGACAGAGGAGTCGAGGAGGGGGATTTGATGAAATGAGAAAGGGCCATGTTGTTGCTATAGATATTTTTGCAATAAGGAACACAAACCACATTTTATTTTGTGGCATCACAGCCATCTTTGGAGGATAGCAAGAAAATAATGGGCCAATCACTGTTAGTGAGGTCGGTGCCCTTTTGGTGTTTGGAATTAGTGTCCTACATTGCAATTTAAAAATATTAAATATTTCAAGGCCCATGTCATGTTTGTTTGTTTATTGGTCATAGGAGTTGCTGTTACAGCCAGTGTCATAACAGTGCCTACCTACGATGTAAAAAAACGTTAAAAGCTACGCTACTTCGTTAGCCGTAAAGGTTAATTCAATAGGTTGTGGTCGCTAGTATCCTCCAAAGATGGACGACTGGCTATTGATGACGTCACATTTCCTTACAGGTCTATAGGTATTTGTAAACTTAACAGTGATTAGAATGTGGGACTCTTTTGATCACCCGATGTAATGCCATATTGAAAGACACAAATATAATGTATTGATTCGTGTATAAGAGTAAATACAAGACATTCGGCACAAAGTGGGTACACTCTTGATTCTTTATTCTCAGATTTTAAATTGAACAGAAAAAGTTTGACAATAAATCACATGATACAGGTTTGAATGTCAGTCATATTTTCACTGTTAGTCTTCATGTAACACTGAGAGCTACACTGAAACCGGTTTTATTATTTTGTGTCATTAAAAAAAGTTTCCGATTCCCTTTATTGGTGTCTCTTTTCCAGATGTTAAGATATATTGTGAAGTTTATTGTCTGTTACATAAAAAGTTAAAAACAACAAAATGGAGGGAAATTAATTTGAAGTGCTCACAGCCATTCATCTTTAGAAAATTCCAACAGCAACCTGTTACAGAAATGGTTTGCTTGTCACTCTGGTTATTCCAAAGACAACAGTCACAATTGGATGTATTTCTTTGAACAGGACACTGTTTGTGGTAGTTCTTTATTAGTAATGTGAAAACCACAAATTAAACTGTATTCATCTCCACGGAGTGACACTAATTATTAAGAGACTGTATACGTTAGAAGATACCACCAGAGGTAAGTGAAAAATGTTTTTTTTTAATCATTTGAACACACCCTTAAAACATTATTCTTAGAACGGCCAAGATAGAATACCAACCTGTATCAGTGTAATCCTGGTCGCTCTACTTTACATCAAAGTGATCTTAACCAATCTTAACAAAAGACTCGCAATTACTCATTGATTGTATTATTTAATTTACCTGATGAAATAATTTCTTTAAGAAGACCTTACAAACTGCTTGTATATTCATGTAATCACTAAACCGGCAGGACATTATTATAGGTACAAACACCTGCAGTGCTTATTAATGAATATAGATTTCCTGTGAGTATACAAATAGTTGAATATACAGTACTATGAGTAGTGTGCTTATCAGTTTTGATCCCATAAATGAGACCAATATTATTCCACAGATACTGGAGATTTCTGGCTAGTATACAATCTCTTATGTGTTTCAGATTATCTCTTCCATTTTAGATTATCCACTTTGGTCCAGACTAATATGTGCAATACCTCTGCACCAACACCAGTTGATATGCTAGCCCTGTGAGGAGGCAGTGTGAACAGTAGAGGCTACAAAGGTGAAACACCTGCCAAGATGTGAAGCGTACAAACATTGAAGCCCTTCAGTTGACAAGGCAGGGGAGGAAGCTGCATTTGAAAAAGCACAGAGATGTTGTCACGTGACTTTACAGAACAACTGCAGATCCATGGAGTCTACAAGAGGAGCCAGTTATCAATGTTTAGGTAGTGATACGTTGCAAATGAGCCAAGAACCCAAGTTGCCCACGCTGGAAAACTTATTTTCCTATCACCCCACACACTATGTTCCAAAAATAAAAAAGTGAAATAACTTCAATGATGTCCATTATATTACCCATATACAGTATGTGCCTTTACAGAAATACAACTCAAGAGGATAACAATCAGGGAACATTTGAATTTAAAGTGCTTTCCTTGCTGGAAGATCAAATATTAACCATTCTAGCTTTTAATCACATGATCTCTCAACTAAAACAGAGATAACTGTACATGTGATTTGTTTTTTGTGCCGTTCATTTGCTGGTCTTAGTCATTTCTTTGTTTTAAAGTAGCACTATTTAATTCTGTTGTTGAATCAGAGCTGAGGCGAGGGGGTACAGTTGGGCACCATTGATGTACCTGCAGCTAGTTTAACCTGAGGCAGGGCTCAGTACTCCCCCGGGGGGGTGGAGGACTTCTCCAAGGAGACGTAGTGTGCTTCATCAGGCAGCTCTTCCTCCACTTCATCCTCATCATCAGAAAGGGGCGGTTTGGCTGGGGCCTCGACAGGCGGCTCCATGGGCGGATCATCACTGGGAGGAAGAGAGGAAATACAGTGAAGAAGCTTGTTTTTGTTTTTAAAAACTGAATGCAAACCATGCATGATGCGAAAGTTAGAAAAGATCACAGAAAATGTCATGAGTCATGCCAAAAGAAAAAGAAGGAGGTAAAACACGATGCTGAAACATGCAATACATTCCCTGAAATGTACAAGTACAGTTTTATACCCCACAATCAGAGTGCCGTCACATCACATCACACAAAGAAAGGAAATAACCCAAAAGCCACTCCACGACACCCAAAGCCAACACGACGAAGAAGCCGTTTTTGTGATAATGGAGACATTGGAAGAAGAAGTGTTTGCATGAAGACCCACAGACCCAGGGTCAGTCACTTACGAGGAGTTTCGGTCACTCAAAAGCGAGCGTAATCTGGCCCGGTACTGAAAGGCAGAGACAGTCCCCATGGGTCAACACTCAGTTTTTTCTCAAACACCAATAGTCATTATATTCTAATATTATACAGGGCAATGACTTGTTATTTCTAAATACAGTGTGTTCTTACATGGCTTTACAGTACGCATATTTAATAAGTCCAAGTTGTGTTAGGATTCAGGATATTAGCAAATGAGACCATGACTGAGACAACTGGGAGCCTTTAAAACTTGATGCAAGCAGTGTTTAAAGTGCAAGATATTGGAAGAGACATTATTGAAATTGACTCAAATGTTTCTAAGGGCCACACTTGACCCGCATGCCCCACTTTAAGAAACAATGCTGTAAAGGTTGCCAGTCAAACTCAATGATGATCTTGCTTGTTCATGTTCTACTGAAGTATATAAATAAACTATTTAATTATGTTTAAGTGAAACAAGAGGACGTGCACAGAAGCCCAAACACTCACAATGTATATGTTAACATTGAAATAGGGACCTAAGAATATTCAAGACACATGGAAATTAATACAATTCAAGACATGAGACAAACAAGCATATAAAAGACAACAAATAGAGAGACACATATAAAATGGATATGATGTGAATCTGACACACACATACACGCACGCAGTTGAGTTGAAATAGATACCTTTGCTAGCAGCAGGAAGAGCTGGACATTGGGTGAATGGCATTGGCAGGTCAGGGCTTGAAATATGCAGCATTACCACACACACACACATCTAACCCTAAAATGAATGGTTCCCCTCATGGGGACCTCCATTTTGTCCCCACAAGGGAGGCTAGTCCCCACACATGACTGTGTTAACAGATGTAGGTCCCCACAATGACAGTAATGCTAGGACGGACGGACACACACACGCACGCACACGGACACGCACAGGGGGGGGGGGTTATGATGGGAACTGACTCAGCTCCAGAAATGTTGTCATGAAAAGTGATACCAAAAGTGCAAGTAGAGCCTCTGGTTAGTGGGTTTAAGCAAGAGGATGATCACCAGCTGTGTATATGCTGTAAGTCAAGCTCAGGGTGAGATGATTAAGCAAAACAATCCTCTTGGAGGAGTTTTAAAAGCCTGAACGAAGCATTTATGTTGCCTGTAAGTTGGCATAACTGTTAATTATCCCAAATAAAAAGACTAATTAAGATGATGTTTAACCTAATGCTTAAGATGACTATGAAATAAAGATAATTCCTTTTAAAAGCCAGAAAGATGCAGAAATAAAAAAGTTTGGCTAGGCAAATTAAAGACAATTAAAAAGACCTTCAGAGGCAAAACAAATTGTAATTGTCTTTGGAGATATAATTGCCTTCTGAATAAAACCAATGAACAGAAACAACCAAACATTTTCAGCTGAATTCCTGTATTTCATACTTTTTAAGAGTAGAAATATCCCTTACATTTGAGGTTATCAATGTTAAACTGTTTGGTAGATTCTCTGTGCAATATGTTGTTAATTTACATTAAAATAAAAACATCAGTTGATGTAGCAGTGATTTGCCGACAGGTGGTCGGTGAGCTATACTGTGTCTGTCTGTCATACGTTGGACTTATTTGAGTGGAGAAAGAAGAAACACTGGCAGCTTCCAGTCGTTTGCACTCAACTTTTCTCTCTAGTCATCAAAACAGAGATTGATAAAAGGGGGGTTGGCAAAGCTGAGGGGGAGACGGGTGTTAGGTCACACAAACAGAGAAGACAGAGCAGACATGTGCAGCAAGGAAAACACTTAGATGGCAAAAGCGTCCATCCTGACTTGAGTTTTAAAGTATTTCTCTTGAAAGAACTGAAAACCATTACACAGAAGTGTCTGTAACTCCCTTTTCTTCTTTCAATAATCTGAAGAAAAACTTATGTTAAGACTCATTAGACTCATAAAACATCAGATTAGATTTTTTTCATTTTTTATCTCCTCTCTTTGGTCAACACAGTGTAAGGATAAGATTTTTGTAAACACTTCATAACATTTTCAATATTCAACTGAATATTGTTATTAACAGCAGTTAGAATGATCAGACTATAAACTGGACCGACAGACGGGCAGACCAGCGTCTTTATTTAGCACAGAGAGAATCAGACAGAACACTTCTTCTATCTTCAAAAACAGGATGCTTCTACTCACTGGAGTTTGGAAATCAAGCCTTTATTGCAATCACAAGAGAACAAGAAGGCTGAGTGAGGTTCAAACATAACATCCACTCCTCTCCTTCAAGGCTGCAGAGAGGCTGAGCAGTAAAGGGTGGATGTGGTTTCATGATTGTGATACTACTGATGCCTCATTCCAAACCAGAAATGTATCAGCATATTTGTATAATACTTTTAAAATATATATTGTGTTGTGTAACAGTACGAGACATTATAATATGAGCAAACAAACACAAAGATGTTTGCAAATGTAAAGATCTAGTGCACGCAAGCAAGAGTTGTCTTTTCTTTTTTTAAAGGAAGTATTAACCTAGCCAGTGATACAACTTTAATAATATTATATTTAGAATATTATCAATCCACCAATTAATTTCTCAAAATGTAATTATTTATTCTGAAAAAAAATCTTAGTAAACAAACCCGAATAAATATAAAAGAAAAAATGTGCAAACTCTGACATTTGGACATCTGGACCAAGAAGCAGGAGGCAGCAAATAGTTGGCATTTTTGTAAAAAATGTATATGTGTATCGAGTGCCTCTACCGGGACATGTCTCCATGCTTTAATTTTCAAAAAGCTCTTTATTTCTCTCATACTGCCTGCCCATTGAGAGGCTCCTATCTCATAATGCATTCCCTAGCCCTAACTTCAGGTAACACCTGCTTCAGAACTAAAGCGCTTCAACTCTAACTAAAGTTACTTAAAGATGCCCTATGATGTTCATTTTCAGGTTCATATTGTGTACCTCCAATGTGACATGCCAAAAATCTCTTTATTTTTCTCACACTGCCTTCTTTCACCTTCTGTCTGAAACCAGAGCCCGGTCTGATCTGATTAGTTAGCTGGCCAGCTCTGTTGTGATTGATCAACCGCTTAGAGATGTCCCGCCCCTTAGCCTATCATGTACAATGTGTTAGAGAGCTAGCCAATAGAAGCGCAAGTGTTACATAATAATGTAATTATGTTACGGAAGTAAACAAAGGAGTCCAATGGAGGCAGGGGGGAGTTTGTGTGGGAGAAAAACGTTGGGATTTTAGCTTTGCAGAGCATTTACATGCACAAAAGAAACATACAACACACTAAAGGGAAGGGAAAACCCCCAAAAAGTACAATAGGGCCCCTTTAACAATTGCGTTGATTTATAAACGAATGGTTTCCGCACTCAACTCAGAGCCTTGCATCTCATAAAGGGGTGAGGGACAGTTGACCCCACCCAGCCTTGGAATGACATTCACAAACTGCAATAAATAGAGAGGACCCCAGACCCTAGCTTAGTGTGAGCTCAGTGTCCCCCCCAACAAGATCAAAGACTGATACTGAAAACGTTACAGTGAGTTTGTTCACAGAGTCAGAAATATAGATTATTACTTTTATAAGGTGCAATTTTTAATGAACTCAGATACTTTATGACAAGTACTTCTGTATGGCACATTTATGTACAGTTAACATTCCCATCACATACTGTAGTCTCTGTTTCACAACACATTTACATGAGCAGTTCACTTCTCGTGATGCACGGCCTCTTATGTCAGAGGAATACAAAACCTCACAGCATGAAAAGGTTAAAAGTATTGTTAAATACTGAAAGACCCAGTAAAATATCGATTGTAATGCCTTTTTTTTAATACACGATAAATCCTCTTCATTTCACATCCTGATTCACATATCCTTCACATTGTCATTCTGGTGGAGAGCACTTACATTGGTGGAAATCAGGTTCCTTTTGGTGAGGAAATATAATCCCCAGCGATATGTAAAAGAAATGTACATGCATGAAAGACAAGCAAAAGATACATTTTCCTCAGAGAAAATGTGCATCCCATTGGTTTTGATTATTCGGATGGCACAGTCTGTATTGTTCTGGTTTCGGCTTCACCAGTGGCCCCCTGTTGGCCAGTTAGCTCAGAGCGGGGTTGGGGGGAGGAGGAAGGGAGATCAGAGAGGGGGGGAGATACAGACCAAAGCTTCTTCCTTGCATTGATTGGCTCAGGGAGAGTGTATTGCTGTAAACTGGAGGTTAGGAGGCAGGGGAGAGGGGGTGAGGATTCGAGGGGGGGGTTGGTTGAGGGGCAGCGAGGGCAGTCCTATCGCATCGTCAGGCTCAGTGTCTGTCTGTCTGTCCTCACACTGTCGAAATCAATTTGCCCTCTGTGGAACTGTGGACAGAGAGAGGAGCAGACTTCCAGGTGGGCTGGCTCAGGACAAACAGCAGCAAACACAACCGGGACAAGGAGAGGCGGAGCTACATCCACCCTCCAACATGAGAAATGAACCCCATACTATAACGTAACTTATTCCATAAATTAACCATGAATAAGAAGCAGGGTGAGCTAATAGGGATTGGGTGGGTGTGCAGTTAGCAGGTGGAAGCGCTACTGAAGCGACATGGTGCAAGGGTGGAGCGTTAGAAGGAGCTGGGAGGTCAAAGCTTGGGTGTTTTGTTAACAAAAAGAAAACTTAATCCAACTTAAGCTTTTGACAGAAACCAAACTAACCAATAACACAAATGGTCTTCTACCAATATGCAGTATAAGCACTATATTATTTGATTACTTATCGTATCCTATCAAACGAGGGCAAACGGAAGAGAATGCAAACATAAAAGAACACAAAGGTAAAACAAACACAAAAGAAATGTGGTGTGTTCTGCTGGTTGTGTGTTATCAGGGTCAGGTCTTTAAAACATCCCAATCCCTCAACTCCTCTTCTGTTTTTCAACATACTGAATATATGGCCAATATGGAAGATCCCAGAGCCATTACCAAAAACACAATCTTGATGATTGTCTGCTTGAACTTACTGAACATGAATTCAACTTGATTTTTATATCATTACAACATTAAAAACATATTAACTACAACAAGTGGTTCTTACCTTGTAGGGAAGCGGGGCTCGTACTCTTCAGCTCCTTGCTGTAAAGACAGACAGATGATTGATTTAAGAAATATTTTATTATATAAACCAACATTACAAACAATTTTCTAACAGTTTAAAGAAAACTGATAAGTGCAATGACCACAGCAGCCTGCAGGTGGCAGCAAAGCAACACGGTGGAAGTGATACATCAGAATCTCACAGTGACCTTAAAAGGCTTTTCCTACAGAAGCTGGGAAATCAAAACGGATAAACTGTATGACTACACTTGGAAACGATCAAATGATGTCTTTCAATAAAAACATATAACATATATGATGTTGTCCATTATGACTTAAATAACATATTGCTCTTTTTGATGTCTGATCTGCCTACATGTAGTTAGTAACTACTGCTACTACTACTTTTGTGTGGTCAGTTATGTCCGTTAATCAATAATTAAAAGACAATTTTTAGTACTTATTCATCAGTGATGTGAAATAAATCCTAAATGCGTATTCAAATATACTCAATTCAATGATTTTGGAAGTTGTAACCACCTACAAAAAATTAGGCCTACAAATGATCAACTCAAAGCATTGCAGACACTTCCAGGTGCACATAAACCTAAATAAAAACGTGTTAAATGTCAGCAGACATGTTTCCATCCCTACAGGCTGTGAGGCGGAAGAGGCAGTTGAAGTTGTTACATGACTGCTGAGCAATTAAGCTTCGCCCACATGTGATGTTCCAGGTGAGGCGTAGGAAGGACAGGTTCAGTGTTGCATAAGTCCACTTCTGGTTTTGCCTTTTTTATAAAATTAACCCTCCTTCCTTTATTGCCACGGCAACCTTCTCTCTTCGTCCTCTTCTGTTATCAACTGTCTGTCAGAAGTTCTTCCCTCAGCGGGGCAGCAGAGTGAACTTCTCCAATCTCAGCTGTGCCACATCCCAACCTCCCGTAAACAGGGACATGTGAAGTGAACGAGAACAGATATCTGTGTCTACGTAAGCTAATGTAGCGGGGCATCTTCTGCTAGCTTTGGCACAAAAATACTCAGAGTATTGTAAAAGAAGAGACAGCCTGTCAAAGCAAAGCTATTCCTGTATATCTCAGGTCAGCAGCACGCAGGGAAAAGCTACTTCTAAACTTTCTGAGACAGACAAGGGCTGATCTCTGCCAGGATTCGTGCGACGGCTTGGCTTGTGTGTCATCTGTGGGTGTGTGCGGGTGTGTGTCAGAGTGTGTGTTTTTGTGCTTGTTTTGCGGACCCCCCACCTGTGGGAAGCCTGGCACGGCCACACTGTAGGGGCGTTGCTGTCTGCCGTGCAGCGCAGCGGCGCTCTGTGCCGCCATGTGGGAGTGGACGCCGTAATCAGGGACAGGGGCCGCCATGTCTTCTCTCTCCAGGAGGTTCCCCGTGCTGCTGCTCTTCCCGTGGAGGCTGGAAACACAGGAGTGGAAAACATCAGGACATAAACATGTTTTCCCCTGAATGAATGCTTCTTGGTCCAATCAGGGACCAACATGTTAGCGTGTGGGTGTTTACCTGCAGGGGAGACATCAGTGGGTAGTTGCTTTTGACAGTACCTATTATTATTGGCTGTTTAATTCTCAATTGTTCACAAGAAGGTTTTACAAATGATAAGCTCTCAGGACAACCAGTATCATTATAATTGTAAAATAAAATTAAAAAAGTCAATAATGAAGTTTCATGAAAATAAGATGTCAATAGGTAAATACAATTTTATAAAAAGTGATGCAAAAGCAAATAAATATGCCTACAAAACTGATTTTGGGTATTGGTCAGTGAGGTAATGACTTATTCTCTTTGTACAAGAGTCAAACATACTTGTGTACTCGGAGCTGCCTCATGGAGTTGCTGTCCCCGTCAGAGATCACGCAGGTGTAGGAGAAGGGAAACCAGCCACGCCTGAAGGGGTGAGGAGGCACCAGATATTAGCAAAATAATATACAACTTTTTAGAATCAAATCCAACTTTGATGTATCAAATATGGTGGAAAAATGTGTTGAATCCGTGGAATTCCAGAATATTCCTTACGGCAGGTCTAGTATATTTATACTTTATATAAAGTAGGGGGTAAAGGTAAATATCCAACTTGGTCTTACATTATATATTCTTTTTTTCAAAGTATATTTTACATTACCATGTCAATGGGATACATGTTGTTGTATTTATTTTGTTATTACACTGTCATTCAGGTTCGTTGATTTGTTCAAACTTCAAGGAGACAAATGGGTTTTATTATTTTGGGCTAAATAAATACATACCATTTTTTATTTATTTATTAAACAGCAATGGCATGATTTTCCACCAAATTCAACTAGAATCTGTTGAGTTGTGAGTTATTTTGGCTATGCCTCACTGTACAGTCTGCAGCTCAGAGTCACTCACATCCGGGTCTTCTCGTTCTCCCCGTAGTGCCACCCGTCCCGGGCCTCGGGGACCAGCAGGGTGATCACGTCGCCCTCGAAGAAGCTGAGCAGGGTGCTGTTGTCCCCGGCTGTGTGGGAGAAGATAGCCTGGACCCGGGTCCTGCCGTTCCTCTCCAGCCCCGCTGCCATGGAGCTGGACCGGGGCAGGGTGCGGGTCTCCGCTGGATAATGGGGGGGAGAGAGCTTTGAGTCTCCCTTTCTCTAATAAACAGTGTATAACATGATGTGTAGCCAAAGCAGCTGCATATACTCCAGTTTCTGAATCTCTTTTTTTCAAATTTCCTCCTTGTCCTATATCTATTTTTACTTCAAACATCCCTTTCTCCTTTTTAATATCACATCTCCTTGGAAACCTGCTTACTTTGGACTATTTTTATTAAAGATAAGATAAGATAAACTCCACAGGTTAGGAGACACCCAGGTATATGTATTCCAATAGCTCTTTTAATGGCTTTTATCTTTTAGATGTGATAACTCTCAAGAAATACCACCTAATATAGAATATTTGCTTTGATAAAAAAGCTTTAGTTAGGTCATTTTCCATTTATATAATAACACGGACTGAAAAAGCGTAGGCTTAAGTTTTGGCTTGTTACCCTAACCCTTTTTACATAAATTACTTTTGAAAAATTGTCAATTAATTAATAAAATATATTTAGAAATATATGAAAAAAGGAAAAAAAGAAGCAAAATAAAATATATGTACCGGTACATCATATGCTCCAAAAAGTCTCAAACAAATATTAATATAAATACCAGTGCTCAATAATGAGTTTATATTTGTTGCCATCCTTAAGGATGTATTTTTTATTTTGGTATTACACATTTTAACTGACCTTTTCAAAAGGATTCCTGAAATTAACTTTTTTTAGGGTTGTATATATACTTTTTTTCTGATTATATA